TAAATATACACCAAGAAAAATCCTTCAGCTTAAGTGCCACTTCCTAATACTAAAAACTTACTCTAATTTCATTGATAATGTACGACTGGTATGCAAAAAGAGTTTCTTGTCTATTAGACAAATTTACTTATCTTAGTGTCTAGATTGATGAGTGTATGTTGAAAAGGAACAACTGAGTGCTTGGCCACATTCCCAGTCCCAACTAATAAGGATATGAATTCCCTGAGAATGAAAGTCTTGGTCTAACAAAATATGTCTTCCTCATGGCACAGAGAAGCATAGTTGATGAAGGTTCCTAAGTCATATCAGCGACAGTAACTTGGCTCTTAGGGCTTCTCAGGTTTCTGAGGGAAAGACATTCCTGGGGCTGTGCTTCACTCCTCCTGCTTCCTCCGGCTCTCCTAGGCAGGGAAGTCACTGTGCTATTCAATTCTCACTGATAGGCAGCCATGTCTACTTTCCTGCCTCACTACAAGGGACTTTCAGGGAAGGCTGACGGCACTCAGTGTCAAATCGTCTGAGAATACATTGATTTATTTAACAATCAGTACCTTGCCTTGGGTTAAGGGTTTAATAAAGTTAAAAATAATTGAGGACTTCGGGAAGTACCATGGCTAGTCTATTTGAAAATTCACTTCCCTGCCAGTTTTCTCTCATTCTGTTGACAGACTGTAGAACCTTCCTTTCATCTCTTTCCTCTTTTTTACAGCTTAACCTGCTCCCTGAAGGGGTATGCTTTTTCTAGGAGACAGATTATGCACTACGCCCAACATGAAAACTTTACACTCTTCCTGTTGTCACCTGAGAGATTTCTCTACCTGGAAGAAATAAGTTATCCCACCTTTTACTCTCAAGTTGGTTTTCCTTCGAATTCCTTCTTAGAACTCACATACTTAAACTTTAAGGAGGGATGTAAACTGAAACTTTTGGTTCCTCATAATTTTTCTTTTCTCCCAGTGAGACTTTTGACAATGTTCCCCATTGCTGTTATCCATTATAGAAATTGAACTGCACTTTGAGGATATGTGATTTCAAACACACTAATTTTCTATCTGAAGGGAAGGAAAAAAGCTAAAAGTAATGGCAAGCTCAAATCTCATGTAGCCTAGAAGAGGAAGATTTGTAAGCAAGCAAGAGACTAGGTGGTAACTTTATTTGTGTACTTCAAACTGGAAACAAACTAAAGAAGTGAAATGACTCTTTCAGAAAGCTTCTACAGATAGTTCATTAAAAATGCATATTGCTTAAAATAGTCACAGATTATCTTTTAAAATTATTTTTCGTCTAAAGGTTTTTACTTTAACCATCATCCAGAAAATATCTATTAAGGACTTAGTTGGTACAGAGGGTGTTGGTTAGATGTTAAATGAGAGCATCTTTTCTCCCAGGAGCTTACAAAAGAAAGGTGCTAAAGAGCATCTTTTATATAAACTGCCAAACATTCAGAAATAAAATATGTCAGATAATCAAATAACAAACATTCAACTTTTTTTCAAAATTCACTATAAAATCCAATCAATATTCTAATAATCTGGTTTGAGCTACATTAATTCATAGTGGTGATTGTTCTTCCCACATCTCACATCCACTCACTAAGAATTGTTGCAGGTTCCAAATATGAATATTAAAATCCTATGGGAAGAGACTTATGAAAAGTTTCTTTTAAAATCACTTGGAGCTACTTTCTGAAAAACAGGCAGGGGTGGTGGGTGGCGAGGAGGGGAGCGGGGCGTGGCCTCCGGCAAGGTTAATTCCTTTGAAACTCATTTTCTATGCAGGAAAGACAGCTTCCTTGCCACAGCACTGACACACTCATCACTACCATACTTCCCAGCAGTGCTGCTGGAGTCAAGTAACCACAACTCATGTGTGCACAGGGAAACGTCTGACAAAGACTGTGGGGCAGAACTGAGCTCACAGCAAACTCTATTTCAATGATATTCTTCGAAGTTTGGAACTCAGGACTGAGGCTGTTTTGGCCCTTACACACTATGGAAAGACAGCACATTCCACTCTGGCTAAAGGCCAATGGGCAGCAGTATTTCAAGAGAGGGTGCAAATGGTGGGTGAATGGCTCAGTGGAAACTGGCAGTCCTTTTGATATAATAACTGATTTAAGATCTTTTCAGTAAACTCACAATTTCTCATTTATGCCCCCAGGAATAATTATTGGTTCCTTTCTATCTTTAACTGTAAAATAGGCTTTAAAGTTCAAATGAGAGAGTACTGTCATGAACAGTACGTGAAATAAAGAACAGCATTAGCATTAATACAACTACAACTCATATTTAGAGATAATTCACGAGCATTAACTAGATTGCATGTTTTAACTATGACATGTATATATGCAAAGTAAATGTCTTTCTTATTTATTGTGTTAGAGGTGATAGGAAATGATATAAAAAGTATATTGGGGAATATATGTTAATTAATAAAGGAGATATTTTAGGTCATATTACATGGTATATTTTAATATTGGTACTGATTGCAAATACTGTACCAATGTGTTAAATGCTTACAATAATTATTTAAGTGGGCAACAGGAATTTTGAAGAGGCAAATAATTTTCCAATAGTTGGGAAACATTGGTTGACCAATATTTCTAAGTATTAATCAATTAGGAGTACACAGGAGCTCTAATTTGAGAATTTGAGGGAATGCTGTGGACTTATACATCTCTAAAAAGGTACAATCAAAATTACATAATAATTATTGCTTTCTTCAAGAGACAGGTTTCTAGTAACTACTAAGACATAATGCTTCAGATGAATTAGTACAATATGTCAAAATTTCAGTACAGGTTCACTATTAACAAAGGAAATATAAATAAGTAGTTGTGGTAAATGTTAACAGGATTTTTTACTGTAAATGTGAAGATACAGATATACAGGGAGTGACAAAAGTAGATTTACAGTTGTGAGTACGTGAAACAATTTATTCTTATATTATTATTTATTGTTGTGTTATATATTTTCCCATGGAAACAACTCTAAACCTATTTTTGCACACCCATGTATATGCAAATCTAAACTACATTTAATGAATACAAAATGTGTCTTCACTGGCTAACTAGCCAACAATGTACCATAAAATCACCTTTTACTCTACCCACTTTTTCTGTTTTGGCAGATTCACTTCAATGAGGCATTGTGGAAGAGTCTAAGTTATTTTTACAACATTCATAAGGTCTCCAAAGGGAACATTTATAAAGAAAGACAAAACTGTCATAGGTAAATAAAATAAATGAAAGGGAAATCCACAGGAAATTTTTAATTATTTACTGTAATTTTATTTGTATTAATATATCTTATCCTTTGAGAGGCACCTTACCGGGATACACTAAATTACAAGAAACAATAGCAACTTTTTTGCCAGCATTTCCATTGAGTATGAGCTCCATGTGGCCAGGAGCCAAGGAATCTGGTTTATTTTTTAATTCTGAGGACCCAAAACATTGCCTGGCACATAGTTTACGCTCAATAATATCAACAAATAAAAGACTTTCTTAGCTTTTATTAACATGCTTTTCCCCTACTACCTTTCTACTTGATATATCATTTCCATATTAACATATGATCTCAGTCTCTTATATACTTATACCTGCTCTCTCTCTTATTACCTTTCTTAACTTGTGTATAATGTTTCTTATACTCATGTGCATTAGAATTTTCTATTTCAATACTATTTATTCATCATAATTCCCTCTTCTTACTTTTTTATATGTGCCAGTGGCCATTATCTCATCTGTTCTGAGACAATACTGCCAAGTTGATCCCAAATCTTAGAAATAGATTATACCTAGAATCAAATTAACAATGCAGTTCTTCAATAAATGAGACCTGAGACCAGTAGAAGTAAATGCTTTATGCCATTTGACTGTGGTGATTGAGTAGTTTGGGAAATACTCAAACTTCAAGCAAGGCAACCTGGATATAATTTCAGGAAAACAATGACCAAAGTTATATCATAGCTAAGTTCATTATCCTCTTCCAGAAGTAAAGGGGGGAAAATGAGTGTATGATTTGTACATAGTCTGGAAAATAGGGACACAATGAAGAATGTGGCATGTTTTACCAGCAATCCCCAGAGTAGACCCAAGGAATGGTCATATTACAATCACTAGAGAAGTGAAGCCTGTGTATGGTAACTGGTTAATCATAAGCTTTTGCTACAGCCTGGATGCTTTGAGACTAGGAAGGAGGTTCCTGGCCATAAGGAAAAGCACTCCCCCTGGAAGTATAAAGTTGGCATTTTGGCCAAAATTCTTCGGTTGAGTTTGTTTGGTCTGAGTCAAATTACAAAACTTTAATATATTCTGAGTTTACCAAAAACATTTAGTTTCTTGATCTACAAAGTTAAGATTGATGCCCTAAACCAGTGGTCGACAAACTGCGACTCATAAGCCACATGGGGCTCTTTGGCCCCTTGAGTGTGGCTCTTCCATAAATACCATGGCCTAGGCGAGTCTATTTTGAAGAAATGGTATTAAAAGAAGTTTAAGTTTAAAAATTTTGACTCTCAAAAGGAATTTCAATCATTGTACTGTTGATATTTGGCTCTGTTGATTAATGAGTTTGCTGACCACGGCCCTAAACCATAGTTCAGAAAGAAAAATGCCCTGGCCTGAGCAGTCAGTAGCCTTCACTGGACACCACCTCTATTGAACCTGGCTTCCTTTCTCATTCTCATATGAACTGCATGTAATTTCATAATATTTACCATATCTATTGCTACTTATCTGCTGGCAATTACACAATGTACCTTTGTGAGTACATGATTACAGAAAATGGAGCTAGGTGAAACAAGCATTTTGTTGTCGGTGAGACAATTAGACATTTGTTAGAGCAAAGACAACTCTATAGCACACAGTCTTGTGGGTGTGACTCTTAACTTTCATCAAAAACGAAAAGTTTGGACAATATCTTGACAAGTGGTTTGGGGTATAACCACAGGGAACAGTTTATTAAGGAAGGCATTAAGAAAAATAAAAGTTTTCAAACCTGGGACTGATATCTTCCCCACAGTTGGATGTTTCATTTCCATAATGAGGCCATTGTGTATCACCTTAAAATGTAAAAAGAGAGAAAAAAATACATTACAAATGAAATTATTTTCAATCTCAAGGTATACAGAAAGCCACCAATTCCTTCCATTGACAAAAGGTATTAGAAAAGAGATACCTGAAATTTTGTTTGAAAGTAAATATTTGGTACAAAAATAATGTTTCTATTTTATATTTTATCAAGTGAAGCTAAAAAAATTAATTAGATTCAAAGTCTTCCCACTCTTAAAAATATTAATTGCTCCTATATAGGGCATAGATCTTCTCCCTTTCATCTAGGTATGATCCTCTAAATCGTAAAGCTTCACCTCTTCCTTCACTGCTTCATAGCAGGACTTGGCCAAGGTCAACTCCACGACAGGCCAGGAAGCAGCAGACCTGGAGCAGAGGAGCCCCCTGGGGTGGCACATATGCTCCTGGCGATTTATTTGGTGGAAGGTATGGGGAGTCGGTGCAGTTTGAAAGGTGAATCAGAGTATCCAGAGGCCCAGTGACTTCTGGAAATGGACAGATTCAGGGCTGATGGACAAGCAATGAACAGAGCCAGCTGTCAGGGGAGCCCAGAGTAGGTCCACGCCAGAGGCCTGAGCAAGAGATAGAAACCAGAGATGTTTTCAGTGATAGTGAGATCTTCATCATAAGACTAGGCTTCATAACTAGGATTCCACTATCCTGTAGTCAGTTTGGGGCAGGTGAGGGAGAGAAGAGACAACTGAAAAAAATAAGTAAATAAAAGCCAGAGACTTTATTTTAGAGAGCCAATTAGATTCTCATGCACTGGGCCCGAGAGGGATATTTATTAGTCTCCCATCAAGAACACAAGGTGACTTGGTCTCAGGGTTAAGATTCAAGGTCAGTTACTATCTAACAGGGACAATCTAACAGTGTCCAACCAGCAGAAATCTGACTTGATGCTGAATTGCTTGACTACTGAACCAGAGCTACTAAGATCCTTGGCAGATAGAGGCTGCAGTTCTTTCCTATGGAGTGGGCAGGAAAACAAACTCTTCCAGGGATCAGGTGCCCTCCCACTGTAGGAAGAGGGTGAGCTGGGGGCATAGATTGTGATTCTAAATGAAAAAGTTGAAATACTAGAGGCAAAATGTTCTATAATCCCATAAATAAAAATGCTATAAAATTACTTTTTTGCGTGTGTGTTTAACAACTGAAGGCTATCTGGCAAAACTGTCTCAAAGAACACCCAAAAATTAAATTTACTGTTACTATTACTGCATCTTCAGGGAAACAGATATGAGTGGCTAACGCTGTGTTTCACCTGCACTATCTAGCAGGTGGAGATCTCTCTCTTCCTGTGCCGTCCATGGACCTAAAGGACACAGTTCAGCGGCACAGTAAACTAGTGGACCACAACGTCATGCTAACTGAACCAGAGCTACTCAAATCCTTAGCACAACCAGGATGGCAAGTTGTAGTGGTTTTATACTATTTTGAAGCATATCCATATTCCTATATAATCTTCTCGCAAAGCAAAAGAGCATGCCATGCATACACTAGTAAAAATGTTTTCCCGCTTGGAAAACTCAGAAAAAGAGGTCAACTATCTTGTGTGTTTTTTGTTGTTAGTTTTTTATCCATTTCTATTAAGGTTTTTTTGGTCCCCTTATGAAATAACAACCCCCCAATCCCCCCCCCCCAAAAAAAAGATAATCTCATGGGTGATTTTTTAAGTTTAGAACTGTAACTCTGCAATGGCTATCCAGGCTCCCACCACTTTTTTTTTTTCTGGGGGGGGGGGGAATAAAGGAGGGGGTGAAGGAGGATGTGGTCACCACTTTGGGGGCAACATGGCAACGTGCTCTTTAAACAACAGCCATGCCAGCCCCCCTCCTGGAGGGTGACGCCACGCCATATGGAGATCCTTTCTAGGGATGCCTTGCCTCTCTTTTGGAGTCACCAGCTTTGCACCCAGGAGCTGGCCAGAGAAAAAGCTCGTCAGTGTTAGAGCTGTGCTATAATTTAATTCTGGTGTGGCTCGTTCTCAGCACCCGCCCAGCACAACCTCCTCCTGTGTGGGGGTGGGGGCTAAATGCCAACCCGAGGTGCTAAATCTCAGTTCTACTGAGGACAGGAACAAAAATACCGAGCTAAATTTCACTCGAAACAATTATCCGCACACTGAATCATTCTTCTCGTATCTCTGTTGCCCTCCTGACTACCTCTCTGTAATAACACCGCACTGCTACTCACAAAAGACAAAAGTGAGTGTTCTCGGCTAAATATAACTTAACTGATAGTGTTGAAATTAATTAACGCTGAATTGCAATCAGGCAGCAAACGCTAAGTGTCAAACGTGAAAGGGTAGTTGGTAAAGGTCAAGGGACATATGTCAAAGTTTCGTTGAAGTGAAAGCTAGCAGTGGATTGAAGTTTTTCACAGAAGCAGCTTACGGAGTTTATTTCCTGCAGCCCTGCACCCATTGCTGTCTACATACACCATTCCCAATAAGAAATTTTATTTCTAACCTTATTCATTCCTTTGCCTTGAAAAGCATTCTGTTTTAAGCAGAAATACACATTTTTTTCTGCAGTCTGGCAAAGAAAGTGAACTACCGTTTTTCATGTGCTGTAGCCACGGTGCAGGTATGAGGCAAAGGGGGACATGTGAGCCCCCATCTTCAGGAAGACCTGCCATGGTTGCCTCCCACCTTTTTATGTTGAGTCTGAAGTCGATAGAATCCCCTAGGCTTTCTCAGTGAATCAGGTCAGGTGGGCCCAGAGAACAGCTGAGAACATTTTTCGTCCCTGGAAACCCTGCCTGAGGACTTGGAATCTTGGAAAACGCTCCAGCCCCGTTTGTGGGGCAAGTCCTGCTCTGCTTAGTAACATAGTCGAGGCGCACAGAGACCAACAGTCTGCCTGAATGTTAACGTAAATCTCCCCTGCCACACTGCAGGCACATACATTGTCTCGTCTTAGCTCCACTGAGAATGGAGAAACTGCCCAGTACCAACATGAGTATAGCATTTCTGTGGGAATGGTTACTTAAATGTTCCCTTTCCTTTTTGTACCCAGGCTCAGCACCCCGATCTCTATGACCTTAACCTAGAAATTCACATTTAATAAATAGTGTTTCATTTGCTGGCCACTAACAGTGGGACAGGAACCTTGGCTTAGGGACCATCAACTAGCATTTTCCCATAGGGAGAATTTCATGCCTAGAACCTCACTCTGGCCATTCAGGATATTCTTTATCACATGCTTAGTTATTTTAAATAAGGCATGGACATTCTCTAGATTTTTCTAGTGAATTCTGTCCTTTTTTGTTTTATTTATTTTTAAAAAAATATATTTTATTGATTTTTTACAGAGAGGAAGAGAGAGGGATAGAGAGTCAGAAACATCAATGAGACAGAAACATTGATCAGCTGCCTCCTACACACTCCCCACCGGGAATGTGCCCACAATCAAGGCACATGCCCTTGACCGGAATCGAACCCAGGACCCTTGAATCTGCAGGCCGACACTCTATCCATTGAGCCAAACCGGTCCCAGCTTTTTTTTGTTTGTTTGTTTTATTTTATCCTCCCTAAATCTTTCCTGGTTTGGTAGTTTTTTTAATTTCATTTCTTCTTGAAATTTCAAAAGCATTTTTCTTGACAAGAACAGAATTGTAGACAGTGCACCAAAATCTTTAGCAAAGTATCAGGCCTATTTAAAATAAGGCCTCTCTTTCTTCTTTAAGAGTTTTACAGATTGACAGCCTAATGAGAGAATTAAATGGTAATGTATTAATGATGGGGGGCAGGGAGGAGTAAAATGTATACCTTAAACTTACATGGGAAATTGAAGTTTAAGTGAAAGTAAGACAGTCCTTTTATAAAGCCCTGTGGCAGGAATGGCAAGGGGGGAAAGTCTGTAATATAGCACTAGCAAGAAAAAACTGTAAAAACAAATCAAATAAAAATAACAACTGTCTAGGCAGTGAAAATCTACATAGAAAGAAAGAGATCTGAGCAAAGAATAGAAGTAGGAAAGCATATTCAAATGAAAAGAGACTGCTAGGGCTCTGGCATTAAATTGTTAGGGGCACAAATACTAGTAGAATATTAGAAATTAATGATTATCATAAGAACTATTCATCATGCTCTGTTAACTGTGTTCTATTCTGATGAGAGAAAGCACATTATAATCTCGCTGAGGGTTGTATGCTCTGGAACCTGGGAGCTAACATCGAAATGCAGTCCATCTTCCTTTCCTGAGAATTGCCTATCATCACGGAAAGATTTATAACCTCATAGCGCCTAGTCCTGGAGGCACCTGTTCTTTACAACCCCCAGCCTCTATTACCTGTAATCTGGTCCTGGGGGGCCCAGGGCACCTCCTATCTGTGACCCCCCACCCTGTGCATGGCTTGTAACCTGTAATGATTATCCCACACCCACTTTCTCATACCTGTAATTCCTACTTTCCCACACATTCTTGACCTTCTACCCGAATAAGCAGTTTGATTATGGTGGATAGAGAGCAGATTTTTTGTGGATGACCTGCTGCTCTCCCAATCTGCCGGCATTATTGGAATAAACGCTCATATATGACTCAACCCTGCCTCTGCTTGATTGGCTGAAGGAGGGACAGGCAGCCCAGATCCCTTGGTTGTCTGATTACAAAATGACATACAAATGATACATGTAAAGAGCACATCAGAGCATTATATGTATAACACATAGACACAAACAACAACGTGGTGATAGCCAGAGGGAAGGGGGTGGGGAGGGTGGAAGAGGGCAAAGGTGGATAAATGAGGGCAGAAAGGGCCATTGCTTTGGGCAATGGGCTTACAGTGCACTGTGCAAGTGATGTTTTGTTGACTTGTACACTTGAAACCTGTAAGATTTTGTGAACCAATGTCGCCATGATAAATTTAATTTTAAAAAAATCAACGGAATACCATCAATAATTTTAATAATACACAAGAGAACTGATCTATTCATTCGCTATGAATAGAGACATAATCTATTTATTGAGCATAACAAACATCACAG